CCGGAGTTAGAGAGAGAGAAAAAAATCAATAGTTTGAGGGAAAATTGGGTTCGATTGGTATATATAAGCGGGCGAGATCCACCACAAATAGTCGGGGTTGGGAACCCCAACTATTTGGTGACTTAACCGATTCCCCATCTTTGGGCATGAGAAAGTTTCTGCTAAATGGTCGGGGTTAGGAACCTCGATCATTTTGACTTGGGCCTGCGCAGGCTCTACCAAATGTTTGGGGTTGGGAACCCCGACTATTTTGTTGGCCTTCTTGTTTTGATGATTATTTACAAACAATTTATAACTAATGTTGTTTGTCTAGTGTTTGTGTTTTCGTATTTATTCTAGGCAAACAACGAGTTGGAGGATGGATGGAATCGAGCCTTAACGATCATATCAAATGGAGGTTGGCGGAATTTTGGAGTGAAGCAACGTCAATTCAAGTTAAATATCCAATTACAAGCTTCTTCCGCAAAGTTTACCAAGTCATGCTCATTGAAGACCTTCATCAAGCTTGGGTATATTTAGTTTATGTTTTATATTATGTGTGTTAATACTTTAAGCTCAATCATATATACACACACATATTTTGTTCTTATATATATAGTTATATAAATATACACAAGTTTTGGTTCTTGGCTTTTAAGTTTAAATATGAAACAAATACATATTCATATATATATATATATACATGTTTGGTTTCATATGGTAAAGTTGTTTATGTACACATTGACATGTTTATCTACATATTTAGAAACTTCCCACAAAATTTTACTATTTTTGGAGTTGATTTACTGTGCCTAATTGATTTTACAAAATCGTGTATCACAGCAGATTTTTAGAAACTGTATTTCTGTGTTCAAACATTTATTTCTCTCAAATGGAAAATGATTTTTCAGAAATTCTTTCTCTAACATGTTTTTATACATGTCTAGAACCTTCTCTCAAAATTTTATAATTTTTGGAGCTGTTTTACTATTTTTAACCGATTTTATAAAATCAGATATACCTGCTACAGTACCGCCGGTCGACCGATATTTCCGCCGGTCGACCGACGAACTCTCTGTGCG